GAAACCCCAAAACCCCAAAACCCCAAAACCCCATAAGCTAAGTGTATAGCGAATATAAACAGTCATAGATTATCTTATTGATTAAATATTATCTTCAAATTATTATTTAAGATCTACTCTACATATCACGGATAATACAGCTTTGAAATTAAGATTTGATCTCATCTAGTGCTACAAATCAATGATTAAGCGGATCTCGTATCTTTAGTACCATTCTAAGTGCTCCCGAGTTAATTGAGAATCTATAAAGTCCTTTGAGACTATTTTCTTTCTTTGATTTTATAGACTAATGCAGTAGTGCTATACAACGAGGAATGAGTTTGTGATACTATTTTCTCACTTTTCATCAGACTAATGAAATAAAGTTTCATTAATTTAGACTCATATTACAATAAATAGTCTAAAGTATAAAGATATATCAATGTAATAAGGATCGTATTACTAATATGAATGAAATTTACTACAAAGAAAATACAACGGGATGATAAGCTTAAAGTTTTTAAACTCATAATTTACTTTCTAAAATATCACAACTTAGATGGTTGATTAAATTAAAAAATGATATACCAAGCTCTAGTACATAGAAAGAGTCTCTTTTAAAACTATACACTCTTAAAAATCAGGACTATATAGTTAATCACTTATATCAAGATAAATTCAAATCTCTTTGTAGAAATATCTCGATTTAGTAATTTTCATGACTTGCTTTACTTCGTTTGAATAATTGATATGAGAGAATTTAACTATTAGCAAAACAAGAAATAATAAATGAGATTCAAATATTCTTGAAGATATTAATAGAAAAAACTACAAGTATAAAACTAAATTTGATGTAAAATGGAAAATGCACAGTATTTCCTGTTAGACTAAATGTTTAATTTAATTTGAGGTATCACTGGACCTACAAGAGTATAAGAGGCCTATATTTTTAATAGATGTTCTTTGGGGTCAGAGAATATTTACTATAAAGACAATATTTTTGTGGATAGTTCGACTAATAATTGTGAGTAATAAGAATATTTAATAGCCTCAAGGAGAACTTTTATAAAAATTAATTAAGAGTTATGTTGAATTAGCAATAGTATAGCGGGATTGAAACCTCTACCGTCAATATGTTTAATCAAACCCCACAGTATATACTATACCAGACCTAACCCATTATCTTCAGCTATGTAATCATTGCATTTATTAAACTTTATAGGTCTCAAATGATAATTCTAATACAAACTAATATCCAAACATGCTTGGCCGTTCAAATGCTTACTTACCAAGCGATCAATAGCATATGGTTCCACAAGGCTACAGCTACGTTCCCTAATCCTAAATAATGATAAGATAACAGCAACAAAGCTAAATAGCAACTCCTCTAAACTAAGTCAATCCCAGTTTCCAACTTTAAAATTAAGAGGGTTTAGTCCATCACATCAAGTCCTCATTTGGAAATTTTTCAAACTGCGATCTGAATCATGTCTCAAACATTTGCTAATGCCCAATGTTAAACTAAGAGCAAATGAGAGTGGATGATAGGTTCAATGTTGACAGTTCAGATGAGGATTTGACTGAGTTGACGAATCCCCATTTAGTGAATCTGGATTTGGCTCTGGATTCCACTGATTAGAATAAGCTAAATTATAATAATCGATTTAATAGTAAGTACGCTTCTAACGAGAGACTCAAATTCGATTTCAAAAGAAATCCAGTGCCATTTACAATGCAAGAAGTTGTTATTGATGGCTGCAGAGTGTACAAAAAAAAGTTTAACAACCCTAGCACCAAAAGAAAAAACACAATTCTATATTGTGGCAAGTGCTTGAGACCATTTACGAAGATATGCAATTTGAAAGATCACTTAAGGATTCATACTGGCAAAAAGCCTTATGTTTGCAATGTTTGCACAGCAGACTTCAAGCAGAAGGGCTAGCTTACTAAGCATGAGAAAATTCACTAGCAGAGCGATGAAAATTCGGGCTAGAGAATACGCCTCAGCTATCAAAGATCTAGAAGATATGTAGCATCTCAAGAACCAGACGACGATGACTTGCCCAGTTGTGACAATGTTCTTAAGATGCTAAATTATCATACTGCTACGGAAAACATTGGAGACATCATTAGGAAAGTAAATGAGGGGAATATAGATTCAGACTAAACGATTAGCTAAGATGAAGAATTGCTCATTCAACGATAGGTTCTAGAAGACTATGTATTCAAACAATATGTAATAATATATAATAAATAACTTTTTTTTTAGTTTGAGAAAGCCTCTCAAGTTTAAACTAAATAAGATGAACTATTTTAAAGCAAAACAACTATATTGAGAGAGGAAGATGGCTCTTCTAGAGTTGTTAACCAATCTCAATGATATACTAAGTTTAATACCATGCGCAAGTAGTCTAGCCGAGTCTCTGGTTCATATACTTATGATCCGGCATTTGGTAATGTTAGATGGTAGTATCTGAGCAACAGCTGTATTAAGATTCAGCTTAGCTCTTTCTATTCAAATCTAATAACATTTCCAATGCTAATGGGATAGGCTGGATTGAAAGCAAATGGTAAATAATGCTATATAATCTTAATTTGATGGAACAAACTTAACTTATTCTCTTCTAATCATATATATTCAAAATCCCTTTTGCATATAAAATTAAATTGATTATATAGTAGTTTTCTCCTTAAAAAGACGTGGCTTTTCCTTACGGGGTTTTGGGGTTTTGGGGTTTTGGGG